AAAAAAAATTTGGAAAAAAATATTATTTTAAGGTACTTTATGATATGTTGCCATACGGCAACAGCATACAATAGTGGATCTAACTTATACTAAGTTTACTTATAGTTTATATTTTTCCTCAGAAATGTTGTTTGTGTTGATTCAATTGGTGCTATTATAAGCTTTAACACAGTACTTATAATTGACACCTTATACATACTTTCCAACAGCTTTTATTTATTATTTATTTATATAAATATAAATATATTTAATCATATTTATTTTTTGCTGAATAATGATAAAATTTTTTAAATTTCATTATTTTTCATGAATATTATTTAAATTGCAAATGTATACAGTTAAAACAAAAATAATACTGTAAATCATGTATCATAAAACACATAAAACCAACCAAAAACATTGCAGTTAATGAATATTCAGCATTACGCAATCTTATGAGAGGAAGACTATGAACATGAGCCCCCCCCCCAACCCTCCCCCCTTAATCCTTGAAAGATCACCTTTTTTATGTATGAAACTTCACAAAGCAATTTTTTCATGTGCAGGAAGAGCAAGTTCTGCCCTTTTCCTCTTTACAGAATATGGCGGTGCTCACTGATGTAATGTTACCTGTATTCATAATTAATCAAAAGTAAAATTGCCATTTCAATTTGAGTATACCCATAATACAAATGCCATTAACATACGACTAATCAACATTATTTCACTAGTATTAGTGTTGTTATTGTTACAGCTTAACAAATTTGTATTCATATTTAATCAAAAGTAAAATTGCCATTTCAATTTGATTATATCCATAATACAAATGCCATTAACATACGACTAATCAACATTATTTCACTAGTATTAATGTTGTTATTGTTACAGCTTAACAGATTGCAGCTGACCTTGCTAGCTAGCTAAACTATTGTAATAATGTCATTCCACTATTGCACGGTGTTGCCGCTTGGCAACATACATTTGAATGATTTACCAAAAACTAATTTTATAAAAACTTTTTTGAGAGGTGAATATGTCATCATAACATCATAACAGTAATGTTTTCGATTTTTTTTGTGGAAGTGACACAGACTGGTCCTTGTTTGTTACTGAAGTTTTTGTTTGCTTTCTGCAACTACCGACAAGAGACGGCAGTCTTGTCAGAAATCTCACCACAGAAAAAAAATTGCATGTCGTGACTTAACCAAAGCACATCATTGGCTAAGGTCTTTTCTTTCCAACAAAAAAAACTGAGAATGTTCTCTTAAAGAGACAGTGGCAAGGAAATGAACAAAGAGTATGTTGCCATATGGCCACACCATGCGGTAGAGGGTTAAACTTGCACGTAGATCTTACTTGTTGTTATATTTCTTAATATCCATATAGGGTTATGTTTGACCTCTGAGTACTTTGATTGGATGTCCAGAACAAGCAATGTGATTTTGCATGAATTTATCCTGTATAAATATGACCCATCTTCCTTAATAAAGTTGAGAATGTTATAGTAGCACACTCACTCTGTATCTGCTTGATCATTCTCCCGGGAGTCTGCACTGCTGCTTCTGCTGCTCTACATCACAGAGGTTGACACAACAGTTCACAGTTGATGACTGCTAACATCAGTACTATCTGAAATTTAATCTAACAACTGTTGATTACTGTAAAGCCTCCAGGCAAAAGAAGACAACTTCTAGAACAAAGTATTAATTTACCCAGAACAACAAGGTAAGAACTTTATAACTTTACTCAGCAAGTATAAGACATACACGAAATTTGTCTTGGTGCAGATGGGAAAAAAAATACAGACAAAAACACTTTAACACAAATACAGAACAACTAAGGAACGGTCTATGTACAAAAATGTGCACATCTGGGTTCAAGTAAAATTAGGTGCAAGTAAAAACAAAGAAAGGGTCCCATCAGTATTTTCTTAATTAACCACAACCAAACTGTCAAATATCAGTAGGCTATAAGGTGTTTTGATGTTTGTGTTGTTCACCAGGTCATGGAGATTCATTATTCTGCTGTGATTCTGCTAGTCTTGGGCGTTGCTTTCACTGCTTATGGTCAACAACCACCACCACATATAAAGCCCCGTTATGAAAACTTCCTCAATCAGCATTTGGGTCCTCATGTGAATGAGCATATTTGTGACACAGAAATCAGAAAGAGACACATCACTGCCCCTGGAACTGCAAATGGCTGCAAAGAAGTTAACACCTTCATACAAGTGAATTTAAATGATCTTAAAGCAGTTTGTGATCCAGAAAAAGGAAAACCACAGGGCAATAATATGTTTATGAGCAACACTGTTTATCATGTGGTCACGTGTAAATTACGAAGTGGGGCGAGACACCCAAGATGTACATATAGAGGGAGGAAGTCCACTCGTTATGTTGTTCTGGGGTGTGATGGAGGATGGCCTGTACATTATGATGAAGGCATAATTAATGGATAGATGACCGGCTGAATAGAGCCTCACAGAAGCTTCATAATAGTTTGCTAATCATTTGTTCGCCACTTATTTTCTGTCTTTTTCTATCAAAAAAAAAAAATCTCTAATTATATTTGAGCAACATCAGTTTTTTTTTTTTTTTGAAGAACCACATAAAAGTCCACCTGAAGTTAAAAGAAAATGTATTCCTCTGTAATTGTGAGACTCTGTAGGACGGAGAATATCTTCACTGTCTCTCATCTCATGGTGCACCAGATAGTTTTTTCCTTAAGTAAGCATAATGTTAAAAATAAATTTACATTTTTTCCTATTTAACTTTAATGGTAATTCTTCAGAATCTCTCTAAGATCTTCACTTCTTAATGCACGTCTCTGTGTGTAATTGTGCCTATCATGTGGGAGATTGCTAGTCTAGCAAAATATTAAGCACTCTGTTAACACTTAAGCATTAAAAAAAAAAAAAAAAACTTTTTAATGGGAGTAGTGAATGTGCAAAAACAGATGAGGATAAGAAAGATGAAGATGCTTTTTCCACCTGTCTGTAATTCTCAATAAAACTTCTCTACTACCCATAAACTCGTCTGCTTGATTGTCATTCTGCATCTCAACAACACCAAATTGAAGATAAATATCCACAAACTTAAATTTAGAGAATAGAAAAGAAATTAAGATAAAACAGCTGGAACTAGACTGGGATCCAGATCAAAACCACGAGTTAAAGTTTTGAAGCCAAAACCAAAGCCATGTATATGTGGTCCACAAGATCAAGACTATTAGTCTCTGATTTGTTTTTCAACAAATCAGATTATTGATATATATATATTTTTTTTATCCATCTGATATCATTGATTTTTATTTGAATGTAGCTTATAATTAAATAATAATAACAACAAAATATACAGTAGCTGCAAGCAGCAATGACGGGCCCAGGCACTACGGTGTCATCACCACATGAAGGCTCAAGGAAAACAATGCACTGTGTGCACATGCAGAAAACAGGAAAATATAAAAGGACTATTTTAAAGTTTAACACTCTTATGGAAATATGATAATGTTTTGTAGTTATCATTTAAATCCGACTCATTTTTAAACTGTTTGTCATTAATTAACATCTCTACTGTAGAGAGGACACCAGGACTAAAAGCATGTTTATTACATATTTTGGGAGACACAACAAATGAATAGGGAAAGAAATTGTATTTCAGTATTCCTATGAAATATTAGATATTATTATGAAAATCTTGCCAATTATTACTCCCATTGTTACACTTATTTTTTCATTGCATGTTGCACCAAGAACACATTAATATGCAAATTAGATACAGTGTATAGATACATTGTATACAGTGGAAAAACCTGTTTATGGCCATTTTACACACGTTGCATAAAGCAAAATGGTATATCAAATCATTCTGTTATATCTTTCATAACATAGTTGAGAATCATCTTTATACAAAGTTTGGTGTAAAAAAATCCTGAAACCTAAACATTTATTGGTGATTTAAAAAAAAAAAATCAACTGTTTTTGCCTTTTCATGTCTATTCATGTCATTTTTATTTATTTATTTATTTTTTAAACTGAGTCCTGGTGACATAGCATAGCATAACATATGAATAAAATATCATTTTTCAAAATTGTTGTTTTCCAATTATTTTTCTTATACTCTACAATGTAATGACATGAAAAAATAAAAAATTCACAAAACTTTTTTTTCTGGGTCTCAAGAGGATACAGCTCAAGTTTGATCTAAATCACTAAATCATGTGCGCAGAAGAAATGATACACTTCCTACTTCACTTTTTCACCATAAATGTATTGCCTTTCCATGGTGAAACCATTCAAGATATCGAAAGTCTGTTTGCAATTTAGTACCTTCAATGTATTGGTGTGATAATTTTGTTTTGGTAGTATACGATAACGTTTTAGTGACAATAGCATGAATCCCCCAGGAGAAGTATTTGAAACTTTTCATGATTGACATTCCATGTGTGTTACAGAGAATCATGTGAATTAAATATTAAAACAGAGTATATTTTTCTCTCTTCCTGGCATGTTGGGATCTAGAAGTAAGCTGACATTGAACGATTTTCGGTATCTATGGGCCTATATTTTGATTCTTTTTAATGTCCACAAACTGAGATCAATAAATAATTGATACATCAATATTTATTTATTTATTTTTATGAAAAGAAGAGAAGTGAGAAGTGGCCCCCAAGTGGTCATTCAGTGTGTTTTTTTTAAATAATAAATAGAAAGAATAAAAAAGCAGATATAATAGAAATAAATTATAGAGAGTTAGGTTTAGAGGGTCAAGTTATTGTTATTTTCTATGATAAGTAAAAAGAAAACAAGTAGATAGAACAGAAAAAGAACAGAGAATGCTAATGTTAGAGAGTTAAGTTTTTTAATATATAAAAAGAAAACAATAGAAACAGAATAAAGAAAAAAGTAGATAGAAATAGAGTTAGAGGGTCAAGGTTTTTTTTTTTTTTTTAAATAAATACAATTTAGAGTAAAGTCTTATATATCTTATACTCAGAAAGTATAAGATATATAAGTCATTTGTCCAGAATTTGTGCAGGTGGAAACAAAGTACAGATGAATATACTTTAACACAAACACAGAAAAACAAAGGGACCGTTTATGTACAAAAATCCTGCACAGCTGGGCTAAAGATGTGCACTTAAAAACAAACTGCTTTAGTAAGTCCCGGGCTGTGTCCACACTTGTTACTTGTATGATTAGGATTCAGAATCAGCAGTCAGCACGGTATGGCATACAGGGATTTCTTTTAGTGGTTCCAAACGACACAATATGCAATTAGGTATGGATGTGGTTCTAAAATGAACAGAAAGAAGGAATAATTACTAACTGCAATCTTATCCCAAATAGTACAGTATTATGCACACACGCTTAAGACATTCAAACAATATTAGAATAATTTTATGATAATATACATTATATTAGCAAGGAAACATGAAATTCTCTTTATAAAGTAATCGACTGCAGCCACAGATTACTAATGATTACAGTATAAATAGTCACCGTGAATGATCGTTTAAAGGGGTCATATGATGCTGCTAAAAAGAACATTATTTTGTGTATTTGATTAGCTTAGCACTAAGATGAATCATCACATATCACAACATACACATTATTTTCCACATACTGTACATTATTGTTTCTCCTCTATGCCCCGCCTTCTGAAACGCGTCGATTTTTACAAAGCTCATCGGTCTGAAAAAGCAAGGTGTGCTCTGATTGGCCAGCTATCCAGTGCGTTGTGATTGGCCGAATACCTCAAGCGTGAGACGGAAATGTTACGCCCCTCACCATACTGTGATCATGCCGTGTCCGGCCGGAGCAACGACACAAAAACATGAAAACCCATTACAAACGAGGCATTCGTTGCATCCAGTGGGGACATAATTACTGATTATAATGACTTATACTGTCATTTTACGCGTTGCGTTGCATTGCGTAAACATAAAACCATGTCTGCATTTCTGATCAGAGAAATGACAAACAACAACTGCTATTCTACACTGCCCAAAACTCGCGTTTGAATCATCAGTGGCAAATCCTTTAAATGAAAACGTACTTACGTGAGTCAGAACTGCTGGCATTTTAGTCTAACGTTACTCTCCCAGGATCAGTAACGTTAAACAGTCCTCCATAAAATGTGCCGGCAATCCACAGCACGAAGTTGATGTATTAGCTTGTAACACTCCAAAGAGAAAGGAAAAAATGAAATCGCATCATATTACCCCTTTAACACTAGACAAATTTTGTACAAATGACGTCTTTCACTATCAGTCATGATTAGCTTAGCATTAAGATGAATCATCACATATCACGACATCGTTGCGCATGCGCGACTGAACGAATCACTCCCCGAGACGACTCGTTCTTCCCGAGTCACATTAAAGATTCGTTCAAAATGAACGAATCGTTCAAGAATGACCCAACACTACGAGGGCCTTTTGTACAGTGATTAATTCATCACACGCAGTAGTATGTTTAGGCACCACGCAACTCACGAACCCGAACCACGAAACTCCTTTTCACTGAAATGCTGAAGCCTTATCGAATCCTGCTATTGCATCTGCAATAGCCAATTGCGTTCGCGCACCCGAGCAGTGGCTGAGTGCCATTTACCTTAGAATCTTTCTCCTTCACTCAGCTATGCTGTCTTTAAGAAGCCTCTTATCGCTCACCATTGAAAGTCCGCTCTTCAGAGCATGGTGCCTGGATTGCTGTTCCCTGTAGTATTCTGGTGAGTATAACATCTTCACATTATATGGATAAGCTGTCTGCTCACTTCTTGAGTTCTGCCGCTGAGCTGCAGAGACAGAGGCCACGGCAGCTTGGGATAGAAAGTTTAGGTGTTTAATCGTGGATTTGAGAACACTGAACTGAGCACTGGTGAAGCTCGCACTCAGAATGGCCACGGTGAAACAGATCCTTGCACACATTCAGCCCGGGGACTATAGCGATGGACCTGAAAGATATCATATCCAGATAGCCCCTCATCACAGGCACTTTCTGAGGGGTGTTTTTGAGGGTGTCGCTTATCAGTTCAAAGTCCTACTATTCAGAATAGTGTGCCCCTTTCTCTTGGTGGCGCATAAACTGCCTGGAGCTAAAGGCTGCTCATACAGCTTTGCAAGTACTTTTGCCGTTTATAGGAGAACATCATGTTCTCATTCGGACAGACAATACAGCGGTGGTGGTGTACATCAATTTAGGTCTGCACGATATGACAATCGCATTCGATTAATCGTGCAGCCCTACATCAATTGCCAGGGAGGAGTGCGCTCAGATGCCACCGAAAACCACTGCATGCAGCATGATAGCAGAGGTGAGGGACCCGTCTATGAGGTGCTTTTATGCTTTAAAGTTACAGTGTTTGCAGAGTGGTGTAAGACCAGAGATGAGGACTCGCTTAAATGTTCATTATTCTGGCTTTCTCACAAGAAAGGCAACTCGACCTCCACGCTGAAAGTTGCAAGCTCTCTGTGTCAACAGTGCTTGTATGCAATTTGGTCTGAACAATTGTATGGTGAGGCTTACGCCTAGACTGTTTTCAACAGTGTTCAGAGCCCGGGTTATAACACTGTCAGCATTTAATTTCCCCGATCCAGCCTCTGAAAATGAGGTGTCTTAAAGTACACCTTATGCCCTGTTCATGCATATGCTTATGTGGACAGAACCAGTGAATTTTGCTTGTCTGTGCAGCTGTTTTTGTCTGCTTCGGAGGCGCTAAGAAAGGCCATCTGATCATCGGCAAGGAAAGTGATAAGGAGAACGATAACAGACGTGAACCGTGGTGACTGGATTACTGTCTACCGCTGACCAAGAGTGAGAGGATTCTGAGTTCTACAGGGCATCGTCATGTTAGGAAGCACCCACGCTGCTTGGATGAGTGGATTACAGTTGATCAGGGACGTGCACAGACATTTTGAGGGGCAGGGGCTCAAGTGGAAAAAAGGGCACTTCTCATATTTATTTTAATTTTTTTCTAATCAAAACGTTAAATATATTAGGGGTGTGCGA